ACAGCCGCCTTTTATAGCCGGCTGTCAAACGGTGCCAGCCAATGGGAGCGGCTGGTGCTCCCGCTCAAACAGCAGACCTGGTTGGGGACTCCAACCAGTCCCAAAGACATAACAAGGTGGGTTAGGCTGAAAGAGAGTGACTGGCTCAAAGTCACCCAGTTGGCTTTCATGGCTAAGGTGGGAACTGAACTCACAGTCTCCCACACTTTAGCCCGGTGCCTTAGACACAGATCAAAATGGTTGTATTATATGCATCATTACCCCTTCCTGCCAAACATTTTTAAAGAGCAGGTAGCAGCTGTGGCCAAGAAAGCCTTTACATCAGTTGTACATCAATTGTGCACATTTATTGACCAAATGAGTGACTAGTTATAATCACTCACATCTTAGTCACCTCTAGCTGGACCATTACAATGTGCTCTATCTGAAGCCGCCCTTGAAGACAGATGCAGTGTTCCAAAATGCAGCACTATGAGTAGTCAGTGTACTTATGTAATGAGTTGCACTGGCTCCCAGTACATTCTCTTTTGAGGCAAGCAACTTACGCAGAAAAGGAGTGAAATTAAGAGCAAGTGAAGAATCCAATAAATGTTTTGGTCTGGTGTTTTCCTTATGATAGAAAAACAGTTAAAATGGCTGATAGGAAAAACACTGAAACTGGAGAAAGATTAGCAAATCAAATTCATTTAGGAAATATTGAGTGATGGGAATGTATAACTTGAAAGAGGCATTATTCGAAAACAAATAATGTAATAGCTAAAGTTCTATTATTGATAATGGAACAAATGCATTCTTTGTTTCGTTTCAGAGAATTACATTACAAGACACCTTTTTTAGTAAGAAAACAAAGCCTTCTTAATGATCTGAGCTATTTGGAAATGAAATAGAATGTGTTGAAAATGATGGACTCTCCTTTATTTCAAGTTTTGATGGATGGGCATTATTAGGGATGCTACAGTAGTTATGTTGCAATGCCAGCAGTGGCCAAGGTCACTCTTGAGGTTTCTTCCAAATTTATAATTCAGGATGAAACAGGATAATTCTTGAGCTTACAGATCAGGACAAAGAAGCAACGTCCTCCATTAGAGGGCATGGCTTCCAAACAAGCTTGGTTTTCAATGTTTGTTTGAAAAAAATATACTGCTACCAAGCATCTGAAGCTAGTATGCACATCATTCTAGAATTCTCCTCTTCCATTTCATCACAAATATCAAATAGTTACATCATCATGCTGTGTTCCAAAGTTACTTTCCACAATGGTTCGAATCAATGCTGTGCCAGGAAAATCCAAGATTACTACACCCCAACATAGAGCTGGTCCAGCCTGAGACTTGAGATATTGATAACAACGTGGGTTGATGTCTCTGGCTAATTTCTCAGGATTTGTGAAGAGGCCATTACCAGAACAAAAGGTAAGGTGCAGGACATTTGGATCACCAGTGGTTGTCAACTCAAGATGCTCCTTTACTTGCTCCCATTTGCACTCAGGGCAGAAAACATGCCATACATCACTAACACTCAATTCTTCATATGGAACACCTAGCACCTCTTTCTCAAGTTCCTCCAAAATAATAATCTTCCCCCGAGCTTGCCTTAAAGTGGGAATGGCCTCCTTTGTCCAAATTTTATTCTGGCCTTCTTCAGCTAAATAACGTTGGAAGCGAGAAGCATAATCTACATTGGGAATAAATGGGAGTTCTTCTTTAACCCGCATAAGTACTGTTTCCCCTGGGTGTTGATTGAGGAAGCTTAAGGTTCCTTCCAGGACATCAGAAAAGTCTGCTTCCTGGAAAGTGTTGACATGGTAAATAAGGAAACGGCCATTTTCCAGCTTACAACGAATATCCAAGAAACGCACACCAGCTGCTAACTGAGCCTCAAGTGGCCAAGTTTGACAACGGATATTTAGGCCTCCAAGCACGCTCATTGAGTCATGGGTGCCAGGGATGGAGATTTTGGAAAGAGAAAGGTGGTCAGGTAAGCCAGACATCCAGTCAGGGAGAGAAGAATCAGGCCAGAAGGTATTGTCAAATGCCTCAGTTTGCTGCCTCTTTCCACATTCCATAGTGTCCATCTGGAAAGGAAAAAAAATATCATGATAGTTTGCAGAGCCTGCTATAATGTCAGTTAAGTTAGGTTAAGAAAGATTTGCAACTGAATGCACTTCTACTGGCAAGTGATCAGCATCTCCCAGCATACCCGAGGGCAGCTGACTATTTAATCAGAGAGTTCCCATTTGTCTTGCGGTGCATCTTCAAATGTAGATACCTGATCAATGTACCAGCCCGTGGGGTCGAGAAGCTACAGTATTCCCAACCTCTACATTCTCTACATTCCAGATTCTAATGTGGAATCAACTTTATTGATTTTATTGATTTCTATAGCTGCCCATCTCAACAAGTGACTCTGGGAGGCATACAACATAAAACATAAAAACAATTAAAAGAGTATAAAATAAATGTATGGGATATAACATGGGATGGGATTTATGAAGTGTAAAATGTAGGATATAATATACATTATGGAACTGGTTCTCCAAAACACTAAGCTGGAGAAGATTGGTATATGATATCTAATAAATATATCTATATAACAATATCATGTATGACTTGAAAACAAACTTTTTTAAAAAATCAATTGGATGGCTAATTATGCCAATTCTTTTTTATTCTCCATTTGGAATTGAGAACTAACCATGCCTCTTTTTATGAAAGATTGTGAATTAATCTGCAATGCAAGAATCACAGTTCTGGAGAATATCCATTGTTCAATACTGAAGGTATTTGAAGATGTATAGGCAAACATCAGGTACACAGATAGTCAATATTAACAGGACTGGTATAATCTTCCTCCTGTCAATTAATTCACACTGCTATAATTATCACCTGTCACATAACACAATATGGGCAGGGCAGGGAAAACTATAAAAGATCTAAATAAAATATTTTGAACACTTAAAATATCAATGTTGGGAATATTAGAAACATAATGCTTTAGGAGGGGTTGCTAATTTTGAATTCTAGAAAAATAGTTTCTAACTTGCATTAGAACCACCAAAATGTGATGAAGTCTCAGCAGTTGGCAACAACTTCATTGGGCTCAAAATCCAAGCTGCATTGGACTCAGATGGAAGACCACCAGGAAATTGCAGGGCTACATGTCAAATGGGGAAGTTCAAACAAAAAATCCCAGCAAAGGTTTAAAATGAAATATTGCCAAACACATTGCATACTTGTATTCATTTATTCACCAGGAGTGGAAATTGACTTGAGGCTATCTTATATACATGTACATATCCACATATATTCCAACAATTTATGCGTGTCTCATCTACAGAAGCACCACCTAACTATGCAAAGTTCAAATTCAGTGCCATGGCTTTCTATAGCGCAGTGTTTTTTAAAAAAAATCTGGGCTTATTGCCCTTTTTCAAATCTTATCTAATATCGTTGCAATCTACGTTCAGCCAAGAGGTTTCAGTGTTTTGAATTAAATCCCAACTTCTATCTGAAGCCTACTAACCTACCTGGAAATCGCGTTCCTCTCTTATCTGTCTGTCTTCCAGCTTCCAAAATTCAGAGGTGGATTTACTTGCTAGGCTGTTATAAAATAATCAACAAACCATCATTAGGTGGGTGTCAACTAGCACACTTGGGCTGGTATAACTGGTTCCTTTTTGACAGCTTATGCCAAAACCTGTCAGAGCTTTGTAATTATCTTGAAATATCAGGTCAACGCCTTTTTATTTTATTTTAATGATTAACTTAATCTTTTCCAAGTTGGCTGGATTGTAAACAGCCAGGAGATACTTCGGTTAGAATACAATTCATTGTTTCAGAGAGATGGCATGTAGTGGTAGACCTCAACTTATGAGCACAATTAAGCCCAACATTTCTGTTACTGAGACAGTTGTTAAGTGAATTTTGCCCCATTTTATGACCTTTCTTGCCACAATTGTTAAGTGAATCACCACAGTTATGTTAGTAACAGAGTTGTTAAGTGAATCTGGCTTCCCCATTGACTTTGCTTGCCAGAAAGATGCAAAAAGTGATTATATGATCCCAGGGCTTGTAAACATGAACCAGCTGCCAAGCATCTAAATGTTGAACATGTGACCATGAGGATGCAATGGTCATGTGAAAAATGGTCAAAAGTCACTTTTTTCTGTTTTCCACACTTATGATGTAATGTTGTAACTTTGAACGGTCACTAAATGAACTATTGTAAGTTGAGAACTATATCATTTTAGTTGCTTTGGAGGTTCTGTCATGGAGGTCCTGAGCACCAAAAGCTTGTGAAGGACAGAAGGGGGAAAACTGTAAAAGGTTGCTTTAAAATTAACGAGCAGCTATCCAAACATTGGGCTGACAGTTTCAACAACACCAATATGGAATAACCATTTAGATACAGGACTACATAACTTCCCAGACGTTAGTGCATGTTTTCCAGCCTTCTCTCCCAGATTCAATCTGAATGTGTAATATTCCTTATATAGGACTTGTTTCTCTAGAATTCATAGTAAATTTTTCACATATATAGCTACATCCATTTTTTTTTCATTTATCAGAGACCACAAATTTTTGACCAAGATGATTAAATTCCAACACTTAGACCATCATTTTTAATTTGTAATACTTGAAAGCTTATACACTTTTTCCTTTGTTCACCTTGTTTTAAAATTTTGAATGGTTATTCATCTCATTAATATTAAAAATATTTGATCACTGATGATTGTTCTACATTTAATTTATGAAGAAGCACCAGTTGCTTGGACCTGTTTTTTGATACTGTTTGATCTTGTTTTTTATTCCCATTGGGCCATTTATTTTGGCCCAGTCTTTGGTCTGCCTGTTCTTGGTCTTTATTCTCCTATCTGTTACCAATAAACTTTCAAACATTCTGTTAGCATCATCAGAAAAGTATACAAAAGCTTTGCTTCCATCCACAAAGACCTTCAGACAAAATGGAGTTGTCTGTTTCTATCTAAATTTTTTGTCCTGAAGAACTGTTAAAAATCTCACGAGTCTACTCTGTATCTACAAAACACATGATAAAATCTCAAAATTGTATCACCAACTTTTAAGGCACTTTCTTTTATTTTCAGTTACGGTCTTTATAGCCTTGAAATATGTGAATTTAACGTATTTATTCCTTGGCAATTTTCCCCTTTATGCTACCCAATAATTTATTCTATAGATATCTTCCATTTCCAGAGTGTATTTATATTGAGGTTAAGCTCTGCCTTGAATAAATCTTTTCCAATATTCTCTACAGTTTAAATTATGTTTATGGATTTCAACTCATTCTAATTTGGCTTCCAATTAATTTCTAGCTGACAGTTCCGAAGATCCTATCTGCAATATTTTTTTTTATTTCTTTACATTTTAAAAACATCTCTTTCAGTGAGCAATGTGGCTCCAGGTTTTTACACTTCAATACAAACATATTCTTAGTATACACTGTATTTATCTTTCACATTCAATTCTGTATCATATTATTACTTCCATTTTCCCATAAAATTTATACTTGTTACATTTTCAATTTATATCCTTTTTCTTTAAATATTTTCATGTCTTGTTTTATAGTCTAACATTCTTGTTTTTTATTCTAAATTCATTATACCTTTATGCTTTTATCTGTCACATTTGCAGTTCTATTACATACTTTTATTTCGTTATTCAATAAGTTTCATCTTAAGTCTAAAAGCTTACCCCTTTAATTACCAGAGTATGCCACCCTTTTCTTATAGATCCCTCAATTTATTCCCCTTTAATCCATAATCAGAATTTACCATATGATCACTTTATAGTTATCACATTGATTTAATACCAGTCCCCTACTATATTTCTCAAACACAAACACACACAGAGAGAGATATATAGATATATATTGCTAGATTCCGCATGGTATTCCTTCCCTCAATTACTTTCTAAATCATTATTTAAAATATATTGATCTATTCAATTATAGAAACTGACATTAATCTTTTCATTAAAATCCTCATAATTCATTTTAACTGTATTCATTTTGTATTTTTATTTTCCTGACTTCCAATTTTCACATTTATTTCAATTATATCCATATATAACAATAATCCTTAAAAAAGAAAGCAATTTTAAAAAGATCAGTTCCATTTGTTTTTTAAACTATATTCTTATATAACATATTACCTTGCAGAATCCCTTTTCTTTAATCTTTATCTACCCTTTATCTCTATGTCTCATAACTAAACAATTTCTTTTCATTTTTGTTCGATTTTCATATCTCCTTATTTTCTGATTCTTTTTCTTTCTATCTTTTTTTGCCTTCATTTTCTCCCTCTGCTTCTCACTCCAGTTTTTATCCTCCTCCTTCTTTAAAAGATTATTCTGTAATTCCCTTTTCTGTTGTTTCCTTTTCCTTTGTTTGGCTTTCCAAACATTTCCCTTTTTAATTATCTCCTCAAACCTTCAAGTTTTATTTTCCATTTTTTTTCCTTCATTTGTTGTTCCATTTGTTCATTAAAGCTGGCTTCTCCTTTAATCGGCTCCTCCCCTTCTGGCACTCCTTGTTGTTCGTTCTCCAAAATTGCCATTTCTATTAATTGTAAGGCAATACAGCATGATTCGTTTCCTTCATGTAACATTTCCTTTATATTTCTTAGTTCCATTTTAAGTTCCAAGAGAAGTTCTGCCATTTTTATACACTTCTTTTATATTTTCTTTGTTTGTCCCTTTCTTTAATATTTAAGTCCAAACCAGTTATCCAGTAATTTAATTCAACTAGCGTCTTTGCTGTTTATTTCCAACTATCAGCTTCTCTTTGAGTTTTTCTAAAATCATCAAATAATCCAATATCCATACGTTTAAATTTGTGCCAAAATCACCAAACCCAGAGTAATTTCTTCATGTTTTCCCTTTTATCTTAGAATTCTGTGTTTTCGCTTTTCAGGGTTTCAATGTTAGTGTAACAAAGTTTCTCTTATTTTGTATCAATTTCCAAGTTTAAAAGAACCAGACACTTTTTAAAGTCACTAAAATTTTCCTTTACTATCAGGTGGCACTCTCCGTTCCACCCTTTCTTTTC